GAGAGAGAGAGAGAGAGAGGGTGTAAGAGAGAGGAAGAGGGAGGGAGAGAGGAAGAGTGAGTGAGTGAGAGAGTGAGAGGGAGAGAGAGAGTGAGAGGGAGAGGGAGAGAGAGAGAAAAGAGAAAGGACACTCTTTTTGATAGTAGTAGGGGAACGAGATTGAATAGAAAATGTACCTAAGCATTGACGATAAAATAATAGACTTCTTCTATTAACAACTCTTCTACATGCCCGCGTTACGATGTCTGTTCACTTGACAAAGATTATCAACATTCACTTTAGTAGGATCTCGGGGTGTCGACAGCCGGTCGTCTACTACCCGATTTTGGCGTACCTGGAGGTAGGGTATGTACCTATGTGGGAGCCGAAAATCGGGCCCGATTCAACGAGATCGATCTGTAGGATGCTGCATGCATAGTGACACACGTGATGGAAGAGTATGAAACACACATCTTCTGTTCTCCCTTCCACCACCACCACCACCACCATCTTTTCATCTACATCACAAGCAGACGTCGACACGAGATGGAATGATTTACTGGATTGAACGTGTACGCTTTGCACTCGTCCGCCACCGTTCATTGCGATTCTATACCCCCACCACAATGCCTCGAATCACGTCCACCAAACGCCGCGCGACATCGCCTGTCCGACCACCCAGCACCACACCAGCGAAGAAGCCTCGGACGAGTACCACCAATGAAGAGGAGCATGGCGTGAATGACATCCCCATTGCCGAGAGACACGGCATCATCCAACGCGCCTTCTACCCACCCGAGATGAGCAACCAACGATGCGCTCAATACAACAACAATGAAATCCCTCGACCCATTGACCTCCTCCATGCCACTCTCCACTCCACCCAAGCCGCGCGCTCGAAGATTGCCGCTTCCGAGACCGTCGTGCACTGGTTCAAGCGCGACTTGCGCCAGTCCGACAACCGCGCCCTCGAAGCTGCAAGCAAACTCGCTAGGAAACACGATGCCCACTTAGTGTGCATGTTCATTGTCTCGCCAGAGGATTATCAGGCGCATTTGACGAGTGCGGCGAGAGTGGATTTCGATCTGAGGACGTTGGATGTCTTGAAGAAGGATCTTGCGGAGAAGAATATCCCGCTATATGTGCATACGGTGGAGAGGAGGAAGGATGTGGTTGGGCATATTTTGGGCAAGATGGAGGATTGGAAGGCGAGGTATTTGTTCTGTAATATGGAATACGAGGTGGATGAGCTGAGGAGGGAAGTGAAGCTGGTCAAGCAAGCTCTGGAGAAGGGGATGAGTGTGGACGTCTTGCACGATGATGTGGTGGTTGCTCCTGGCGCCCTGAAGACGGGAGCAGGAAAGCAGTATTCCGTATATTCTCCTTGGTATCGATCGTGGATGAAGCATATTCGCGAACATCCTCACCTCCTCAAACCCAGCGAACCACCCCAGCCCAATCCATCCTCCGCTCAACAGAAGTTTGCCCACATCTTCTCCTCGAAAATCCCATCCGCACCTCCCAATAAAGTGCTCTCCCCAGAGCATCAATCTCGCCTCGCTTCAATCTTTCCGGCCGGTGAACACGAAGCGCAGTCCCGTTTAGATCGTTTTCTCTCCACCAAAGTCCGTGCTTACAAAGACGAACGCAACATCCCTTCTGCGCAATCCACCTCCCTCCTGTCAGTTCACTTTAGCGCCGGAACCCTCTCCTCTCGCACTGCGATCCGGTCTGCAGTCTCCCTACACTCCTCCCCCGAGAAACCCGCACTCGATTCCGGCCCCGAAGGAATCAAGACCTGGATCTCAGAAATTGCCTGGCGAGACTTTTACAAACATGTCCTTGCCCACTGGCCCTACGTGTGCATGTCCAAACCCTTCAAATACGAATACTCGGACATTGAATGGGAATACAACGACGACCTCTTCACCAAATGGAAAGACGGCATGACGGGCTTCCCCATCGTCGACGCCGCCATGCGCCAATGTAAACACATGTCCTACATCCACAACCGCTGCCGCATGATTGTCGCCTCCTTCTTCGCCAAAGATCTCCTTTTGGATTGGCGACAGGGCGAAATCTACTTCATGGAACACCTCATTGACGGAGATTTCGCCTCCAACAATGGCGGATGGGGTTTCTCCGCTTCCACCGGTGTAGACCCTCAACCATATTTCCGCATTTTTAACCCTTTATTACAGAGTGAGAAATTTGATCCCCAAGGAGAGTATATTCGGAAATGGATCCCCGAGTTACGTGATGTCAAGGGTAAGGCTATACATGATCCTTATGGGAGAGGAGAGGGGAAGGTGGCGGAGAAGAATGGCTATCCGAGACCTATGGTTGATCATAGTAAGGCTCGAGCGAAGGCTTTGGAGAGATATAAGGAGGGGTTGGGGAGGGGGACGGCGAATGTGGGTGGTGGAGTACATAATTGAGGATTTGATGGACTTTTTTTTTCTTTTCTTTTCTTTTCTTTTCTTTTTGGATTTGGGATTGACTGGTTCGATTAAATGTTGTAAACACTCTCTCTCTCTCTCTCTCTCTCTGGGGCAGACTGGACCAGGGATCTTATTATTACGACAGTCATATATCCCAGACGAAGATGGACAGGCAAACTATACGCTGCCAAGGGGTGCAGTGGGAGATCAAAATATAGACGATAACACAAGAGGTTTCTGCTCGATACCAGTTGACCAGGCCACCGTAAGCATAGAAGCAAAATTGAACCATGCGACTCTTGACTGATCGAGATCGTTTCTGAGGAGGAGGAGGGGCTATCGCAAGTACATAAAATGGGATAAATCACACATCTTTGAACATGTCCACACTCCTCCTGCTATACGCCGTCACCGCCGGATACTCGCTCCAATCCGTATCGAACAAAATCACATCCTGACACTTGCTTCCCAGCGCAGTACTATTCACCCACGCCGGTTCCCAGTAATGTACTCCCTGTCCCAGACCGTTGGGAATTCTGATGAAGAGGTGTTATGTTAGCACATGACCTTGTACAAGCATCACTAGAGAGAAAAAAAGAAAAAAAAGGAAAAAATTCCAAAACTCACTGCTTCACAACATCCACAATCCTCCCAACCCACTCCAACTGCCCTTCCACCGAAATCGGAATCTCCGGCTCACTCAAACTCGGCGCTCCCTCCCCTCCACAAGCCACAGGCCAATCCGTCTCGACCACATGAATTGCTTTTCCATATGTCTCCGCTAAGGAATTCACCGTGTTCGTTAATGTCTCAAATGTCGCTCCCGTGCCGTAAAAAGGATAAAACGTCAAGCCGAATACATCCCAGTCGGATACGGACATTATGTTGGTGGAGACGAGGGCTGTGAACCAGCGGGTTAACATGGTTAGGTCCCAGCCGTTGTCGATGTGGATCATTACTTGCGGGGCTGGTATCGCCACTCCATCTGTGTTAGTAGTATTCGCAGCGGCAGCAGCAGCAACACCATCATCAACCCCCCTCCTAGCAGCTTTCAACAGCGTCGCCAACCCTTTAAACCCCTCCGTCCTCTCCGCCTCATCTTCCACTCCAACATCCACTTTCCCCAGCGGCCATAACATTCCATTGCGAATTTCGTTTCCCAAACTCACTATCGCGAGCGGAACTCCTGCCGTGTAGAATTCGCGAATTACGGAGGATACGTAGCTTTGTACCGTGTCTGCGAGAGGCGAGAGATCGCTGGGCCAGCTTGCGGGCGGAGTTTGTTTGGCTGGGTCGGCCCAGTAGGAGGAGAAATGGAGATCGAGGTAGATTTGGAGGGATTTGGAGGTGAAGCGTTGGGCGAGAGAGAGGATTGTGGGGAGGTTGTAGGTTTGGTAATCTTTTGATGGGAAGAAAGGAAAGGGGTTAGAAAAATTGGGGGTTTGGATATGTACATGTAGCGAAGGGAAAGAGATGGAGACTTACATCCAGGCGGTCCATCAAATGGTACAATCGGATCTACCCATAATCTCAATCGAACGGTATTCATGCCTCCGTCGATGAGAATGTCATCTGCCAATCGAGTCTCATTGTCGCGTGCCGTGTCTTTGAAAATTGCCCCCGGGGGTCCAGCTTCCATGATGAAAAGAGAGGAGAGATCATGGCCTTTGTAGAAGAATGGTGGGGGTGGAGGTGGTTCTTGTTGTTCGGGTGGTTGCTCGTCGGATTGTTGTTGGTCTTGGTCTTGGTCTTGAGAATGGACGGTGGGGATTATAGTGGAAAAGAGGAGGAGGAGGAGGGGAAGGAGGATGCGGAAGATGAGGTAAGACGGAGAGGAGGAGGAGGAGGAGATATGCATCGCGTTCTTCGGTCGGTGGTTTAGGTATCGTTCTTCGAATTACAGACTATGATTATTATTGATGTCGTAGTAAGTGGTTGGAGGTTTCCATTGTCGATGACAATGATGAGGATAGACATTCTTTCGGATTACATAGTACTGCCATGTGGCTTGGTACTTGGTACATCAGATCGAGTCCGCTGTGTCCGGTGACGAAGTGACAGTATCCCTGTGATTGTACCTTGTCAATGTTTAAGATATTCGCATTTTCCACCAATCGTTCGCAGCGCCGCGTTTGTTCAGCTACACTTTGGATAGCGGGGAAATATTGGAGGAGGAGGAGAAATTCTCTTCGATGATTTAATGTTATGTCGTACGGTAGGATGCCTCCCTAGAGGTTGTAGTCAGGCACTGAAATACTTGCCCTAGACCTCAAAGCCCCAAGAGAGAAGGACTACGACTTCTATCCCGAAGTTTCTTTGTAGCGCTTATTCTCCATTTAGTCCAGAGACTAGCTATACGAGCACTAATGAAATGAAGTCAGAACTATCGAAACAGGAACAACGCAGCCCTACATGTAATCTTGTTCATCACATGAGATCCTATAACTACCTAGAGTAGTCAATCGTGCGGCTCGAATTTGGAACCAACAATCAACACATTGTTCTCGGGCACGAATACAGCGAGGAGCGCACATTTTGGGTTTCAGTTACACAACAGTACATTGTACATCCAGCAGTCCGCCCGTGGCCGCTACTACGACGTCTGGAGGATGTTACAGCATGCGCCCTTCCGTGTTGGGTCGCGGTGGTCAAAGGAGACGGAGGACCACTCAAAAGGTAAAGTGGAATGTATACAGAGAAAAGTTGCGATGTGGGTCCAGTCACCTGACAGCCCTAACCACTACATACATGATTGCCAAGACACAACCTCAATTATGCTCTCTCCTACATGTGCCTAGTTCGTCGCTACACTTGGGTGCAGTAGGGAATTTCCGAATGAAGCTGCTAGAGAGAGCCTGAATCTATACAAGTATTGTAGTAGATATCGAGTAAGGCATCGAGCCGGATGCAGAGAATGAATCCGCGCTTGAGTTTTGTCTATATCTAAGAGTCTCCAAAAGCACGAGATGTTGCAAGGCCGTGTACACGTCCCGAGCGCGGATCTACAATCCCGTGTTCACCAGGGTGTTCACGTTGCAGACGAGAGACCTCATCCGGATTGAAACCCGTATGATCAACAGACATGGGCTCACAGACGTAATGGGATCGTTGGGAATGTAGCGTCTCTTGAAGTACTCTGCGGCGTCTAAGCGCGGAGCCAGGAACAATGGCAGTAGGCCACTGACCACTTCCGACGTCCATGGTCCTGCATGTCCGTCAAATATAGCCCAGGTGCCCCAGCCCTTGTGCATGTGACGGCGATCTCGGAAGACGGCTGCGTAGAAGACGTCCTCGCAAGGCAAGTTCGCTGGCAATTGACATGTATGCGTGACAGCATTGGGGGCATCCGTTGCTCCCGAGCGTTCTCCGAGAATCTCATCGGCGAGTGCCATGCCGACTGCGGGCGTTACCCAAGCCCGGTCGACTGTGTCGGTGGTGACCTTGTAATGGGAGAGCATCTCTAGAACGATCATCTCCGGCGAGACACGCCCTCGAGCCCAGACGTACGTGCCGGCGGCGAAACATGCGATACTCCACGCCGCCAGTCCGAGTGCCTATTGAGCCCATTTTCGTGGAGGTGGAGGAGGCGGCGGCTGTGGAAAGTATGTGCTGGAGGGACCTCTATGGCTATGTCCCTGCCGGGCCTTGCCGTGGAGGTAACATCTCGGGGACGGGGAGAAGCTGCGCAGGGTCGTGCCTAGGGGCCGTCCTCAGCGAACTCGAGAACATGGATAACTCAGGTAGGTAGGTATTGTTGACGGGAGAGTGCAGGCCAGACGAGCGCTCTATCGGTGCTCACGTACATACTTGACAGTGGGAGGTACTGTGCGATGCTCCCACTGTCCCACAGTCGGGCAAGCCGCCCGTCTTGTTCTCCATTACGGGACGGTACAGTACCGAACATGACATAGAGGTAGGTATGTTTCTCTAGGTACCTAATCCACATCATCATCCTCCTCCTCCTCCTCCTCATCACTGTCCTCATCCTCATCCTCCTCATCCGTCACCTCTCCACCCAAACTGCGAATCTTCTCTCTGTACTCATCCCGCTTCGCCTCAATATCTCCCATGACCAACAACATACTCTCCAGCTCTTCCTTCGCATTCTGCTCGCTCTCCTTCGCAGCCTGGAGAGCAGAGTGAGCCTTTTCCGCCTCCGCCACAGAAGCCTTGATCTTGGCCAGATCGGCGAGAGCTGCCTTCTCGCCGGCCCGCGCATGGGACAGTTCCTCCTTGGTCTTGCGATGTTCATCTTCGACCCCCTTCAGCTGTTCGAGTTCTGCTTGGACAGACTTCTCGGCCTGCTGCGCCGCTTCCAGCTTCTCGCGCAGTTTCTCACTCTCTTCTGATGCACTCTTCAGTTGGGCCACTTCGTCCTGCGCCGACTTCTCGCTCGCCTGCGCATCCTTGAGCTGTTCTTCAAGTTTCTGGAGCCTGTCCTGGTCGGCTTTGGCACTCTTTCCGCTGCTGCTTTTCGCCTCTTCCGCTGCCTTCTTCGCCTCCGCAACCTCTTTCTCGAGCTTAGCAATCTTGTCCTTGTCGGCTTTGCTCGTGCTAGCTGCACTGCCCTTAGCGCCAGCAGCACTTTTCCCACCTTCAGCAGCCCTCTTCTCCGCTGCACTCAACTTCTCCTCGGCCTCTTTGGCTTTCTTCTCTGCCGCTACGGCTTTCTGGATAGCCTCCTTCAGCTTATCACCTGCTGTCTTAGCTTTCGCCTCGGCGTCCGTCGCCTTCTTCAGGGCATCGGAAAGCTTCTTGTCAGAGTCCTTGCCTGTGGCAGATGCCTTCTTCTGACTGGCCTTTGCGTCTTCCAGTGTCTTCTCGGACTCGGCGGCTTTCTGTTCAGCTGCAGCCACCTTCTGCATTGCTTCTTCCAATTTCTTCTCCAGTCCCGCCATCTGACTCTGCAATTCTGCGACTTGTGCTGTTGCATCACTACCAGCAGCCTTCGCCGCAGCCGCCTCCGTCTTGTGTGCTTCTGCCGCTTGCTCGATTTCCTTCTCGAGATCCGTAATCCTACCTTGGAAGTCTGCAGCTTGCTTCCACGCATCAGTGCCAGCAGCCTTTGCTGCATCAATTTCAGCTTGGTGAGCTTCTGCTGTGCTTTGTATTTTACGCTTGGCATCCTCGAGTTCCTTTTCGAGATCTGCAAAACCGGCACGCTCAGTCTTCAATTCCTCATCCCTGGCAGCGAGATCAGCCCTGAGCTCTTCCACCTCCGTCCGGAGCTTGCTCAACTCCTCATCACGAGCATCGAGAGCCGTTCTCGCCTCAGCTAAGTTTGCCTCCGCCGACACAGACTGTTCTTGCGCAGCCTGCAGCTTTTTCTCAGTCGCAATTTGCTGCTGTTTCAAGCCATCGAGCTCTCGAGCTAGATCGCGCTCTCGCTTGATCAGTCCATTGAGGTTGTTCGTAGCATGAGCAAGCTGCTGCCTGGCTTGCGCATGTCCACCAGCCTCCTTCCGATGTTCGTTGCCCAGCTCTGCTAAGCGCCGCTCCAGTTCCTGTATTTTTTGCGCAGAGGCTGCCTCTCTTTCTCGAAGGTTCGCTTGATGTGCACGCTCTGCGTCTTGCTTGGCATTGTTGAGCGCGTGTTGATGTCGTGTTTGTATCGTGTTCTTTTCCTGCTCATACCGCTTCGTCAGCGTCTCCAGCTCGCTCTCGTGACCCTGCTGCATGGCCTGATTGATCTTGCGGAGCCGTTCAATCTCTGAAGAAGCAATTTGCAACTCTTTCCCAATCGACATCCGGTCCTGTTCCGACTTCTGTGTCGCGTCTATCGCCTCTTGCTGAGCTACAGCCAATGCTTCTTTTGCTGCTTGGGCCTGCAGGCGAAGCTCGTCGAGCACGTCTCGATCCACGCCAGCTTCTGCCGCGGATGCTGGCAGCACTTCTACACCAGGATCCTTATCAACCGCCTTTCTCAGCCGAGTGTACTCCACAGTGAACAGGTCCACAAAGACATTGCTGAGCATGCCATCTCCACCCTCGTCCGTTTCTTGGTCAAGTTCAAAATCGCGAATCGCAGGCTCCCGACGAAGCTGAAGAAGTGCGTCCAAATACTTAGTCCGGCCCAGTTTTTGCTGTATGAGTGGGGCAAGCGTACGACGCGGTATAGGCGAGTCCTTTGTGCTGAATTCATAGACAATGCCGAGCAAGACAGCGGCGAGTCCAGAGACGACGGGATCTTCGGGCGTCTTAATCGCCGTTAGGAGGCTCTGCAGTAGACTTGAGCCTTCATCGAGTAGGTCGTCAACTCCTGGCGCATAGTCCCATAGCAGAGTCGACAGCAAACTGGAATATGCGGCACATGTTTTCACATCGAGAGGTGGCTGCAGTGCAGCCTGAAGGTGCGATCCCAGCGCCTGGACTGCTGTGATGACATCCTCCCCTTCTTCCTCGTTGCCCTCGGACACGCCCGTAAACATTTCTTTGGCACTGGCTTCGCTACCGACAAGCCCTTGCACTATCCAGGAAGCATGAACAACGGCAGTCTCGTCGTTTTCTGGGGGATGTAAGAGGGTGTAGAGAACATTGGCTGTGACTTCACCTTCTGCATGACCAAGAATAGCACGCTGTAGAAAGTGCGCCTTCACTCTGTCATGCCCACTCAGATATGCTTGGATGAGGCCACATGCTGCTGCCCGCAGGGGTGGGTCTGCCTCGCGGTGGTCGAGTGCAGTACTCAACAACGCTTCTATAATGTACGATCTTCGGGCCTCCAGGCTCGCTCGTGCGCTCTTCTTTCCACGTCCATTGACTGCTGTGCCATTTGCCTGCTTCTGCTTCTGTTCCTCAGCCTGGTTGTGCTCCGCATCATCAGGTGTAATGACTGTCAGTGCCGCAAACTGTTCCTGCAGAGGAGGATTCGCTTCAACAAGTGCCGCTGCAGCTCGGAGTGCAGACGCGCGAACAGGTGGCGGAATCGCGATTGAATAAGCAAGATCAATCAGAACTTGCGCGATCCCAGCTTTGAAGAAGGCTGTTTGGTTTTGGGGAGTGCTCGCCTCCCCCGGTACGAGGAATAACCTGAGCAGCATAAGCAGACCCCAAGCAGTCTTCTCCCGTGAGTTTGTGTTGAATGGCAATTCGTCTTCGGCAGGGAAGGATTGCTGAAGCAGCTGCACGAGCTGCGCCACGCACCCTGACTCTCGAAATATAGTCTGGTTTGTGGACGAGCCACGTATCAAGTTGGCAAGCAGACTCAGGCAGTCCTGTGCTGTGATACCAGCCTCTGCCAGTCCTCCCTCCAGCTGTATGAGGGCGAAGGTCTTGCTGAATACATCTTCGAAGGCGACAATCTTTCGCAGCTCTTCATTCGCACCGCTCGTCAGATCGACTAGGAGAAGAAGGCCGGCATTCCGCACAGCGTCTCGCCCGTCGTCCAGTATGCCCACCATTCGCGACACACCCAGCGGCGCAGCCAGTATACATTCCTGCAGTCGATCGGGTCGTGCGGCGCATATGGCGGAAAGGATCTGTACTGCGTATAGTCGGGAGTAGTAATCGGCGTAGGGACTCGTGGGATCAAGGAGATTGAGAAGAATGGAAATGTTGTCTTGACGCTGCACCTACCTTAGCGAGGGTTCTATCGTAGGCATACACAATGCGGACTGAGCAAGAGCAAGACGCACCATTGAAAACTCGTCAGCTAAGAAGAGGGCAATTTCATCACCGGCCTCAGGCGAGTTGCTGTCGGGACTGAACAGCATGAGCAGCGTCTCCATGACCAGCCGGATCGTGTCCACGTCTCCGCCCTCGCCCTGCTGATCGCCATCTTGGCTCTGGCGTGACGAGTCATCTCCGAGACCATCGCGTCGCAGGGTGGATATGAGCTCTCGTAAGGAGCCACTGGCCACAGATGCCGGGTATTGCTTCGCGAAGCTGCGCAGTCCTAGAATGGCAGCACGCCGGTCTTCCAGCAACGTCGCCGACTGGAGACGACCACATAGCGTCTCAATGGTGGCCGTGGCCGTCTGGAGAGGAGGTGTTTTGAGCATGTCGGTGTCGGTGTCGATGTCTCGCTGCCTGCCCGGAGGCAGCCTCGCTGTTTATTTCATTCGCCGTGTCGCTGATGTCTGCCAGGATCTGTCAATGTGTGGTTGGAGCGTCTCTGTACACCATCGTCGCCAGTCGATGTCTTTTGAGTGCAGTGGTGGACTAGGTTGTCCCAGGAAACAAGCGCCAGTTTCTTTGTGTACATGTAGGTGTACTAGGTAGGTAAGTTACCGAGAGTGAATGTTGTCCTCCGGAGACCATCGCGGAGAAGAGAAGGCGCCAAGCCCGCACCTGGGCTGGGCCGCTGCAGTCCCTCTTGTCTTTCAGACTCGCTCGCTCTCTCTCTTCTTCCAGGTTGCGACAGTATCCCACACTCTTCCAACATCGCATAGGAAGACACGCGCCGGCAGCAGCGTCAATTCACCCATCCTGCCTGGTCAATAGCAGATTTTCGCCATACTGATCCATACCTATCCCTTGACTCCCGGATTGGACGTCCCCCGACAGCGACAGCGCGACGACTGAGGTCCATCAAAGGCAGAACCCGCGCACACGACGTCGACTCTCCTCTACATACCTCCTGTCCCTCTCGCTCCCCTCGCCCCCCGTGCTCTGCCCTCAGACACACAGCGCATCACTAGCATCTGCATCGCCGCCACCACTGTGACCCATCGCCCGTCATGGGTGTCCCAGCATTGTTCCGCTGGCTCAGCAAAAAGTATCCCAAGATCATATCTGCCGTGTCGGAAGAGCACGCGCAAAAAATACAGAATGCCGACGGGTCAGAGACTGTCATCCCCATCGATGCGCGCGGTCCCAACCCCAATGGGGAGGAAATGGACAACCTGTATCTCGACATGAATGGCATCGTGCACCCATGTTCGCATCCAGAAGATCGGCCGCCCCCGGCCAACGAGGAAGAGATGATGATTGCCATCTTCGAGTATACTGAGCGCGTAGTCAACATGGTTCGCCCACGTAAGCTTCTCATGATCGCTGTCGATGGTGTCGCGCCACGTGCCAAAATGAACCAGCAGCGCAGCAGACGTTTCAGAAGTGCACAGGAAGCCGCTGAAAAGGACGCCGAAGCTGCCGAGTTTCACGCCCGCATGGTCGCCAATGGCGAGCGCAGCGCAGATGGTGAGGATGGTGACAAGCCCAAGAAGACGTGGGATTCCAATTCTATCACGCCTGGTACACCGTTTATGGACTTGCTCGCCCAGTCGCTGCGCTATTGGATCAGCTACAAGCTGACTACTGATCCCGCATGGGAGAAACTCAAAATCATCATCTCCGATGCCACTGTTCCCGGTGAAGGTGAGCATAAAATCATGAACTTTGTGCGATCGCAGCGCAGCTCGCCCGAGCACGACCCCAACACGAGGTAAGTTCTTGTTCTATGTCAAAACCATTTCCGCTTTCACTTCCTATGGCGAACATGTTTCGATTACAAAGAAACTTGCGCTAACTTGCCTAGGCACGTCATGTATGGTCTTGATGCTGATCTGATCATGTTGGGTCTTGCTACTCACGAGCCACACTTCCGAATCCTGCGTGAGGACGTCTTCGCCAACGACACCAAACCTGGTCATTGCAGGAAATGCAACCAGCCTGGCCATATTGCAGCCAACTGCCAAGGTCTGCCAGCCAAGCAAGAGAGATCTGCCGAGGACAAGGTCGAGAAACCACTCAAGCCATTCATCTGGCTTCACGTGGGCATCCTCCGAGAATACCTCGCTGTGGAGATGAGTGTGCCAAACCAAGGCTTCCGTTTTGACCTCGAGCGCGCTCTCGACGACTGGGTCTTCATGTGCTTCTTCGTCGGAAACGATTTCTTGCCACACTTGCCGTCCCTGGACATTCGAGAGGACGGCATTGATACGTTGATTGCAATCTGGCGGGACAATTTGCCCATTATGGGTGGCTATGTGACCAAAGATGGACACGTAGATCTTGCTCGAGCACAGCTCATCTTGGCCGGACTGGCCAAGCAAGAAGACGCCATCTTCAAGAGACGTCGCGAGACTGAAGTGAAGGCTGCCCAACGACAGAAGCAACGCGAGGACCGTGACCGACGACAGTCCAACAAGCGACCCCGATACTCGAACAACGGCGCACCTACCGGGTATGACGAGACTGTCATTCGCAGAGGAGCACGAGGTGGTATAGTTCGTGGAGAGGCAGCGCCGGATCCCAATGCGCTTGTCACTTTCGCACCAGGTGCTGCGCAGACGATGAGTGATCCACGTTACCAAAACAATCTCACACATGCAGACATCGTTGGTGGCGCCAGTGGTCAGGATAACAAGTCGGCCGCTGCCGCGCTCAGGGAAAGGCTCATGGGTGGTGGTGGTAGCACAAATGGCAACAGCGCTGACATCCAAGCGCTCATGGCCTCGGCCACGGCTGGTTCGGATTCGACGCCAACCCTGGGAAAGCGCACACGAGACATGATCGATGATGCGGCAGCGGACGACGCCAGCTCCGATCCATCGACGCCAGGACGCAACACACCCGACAAGGAGATCGCGGACCCGATGAACCGCGGCACGTCTGGTCAACTTGGAGGTAACAAGGACGCTTCTGATGCAATGCCAGAGGACACAGTCAGGCTGTGGGAAGACGGCTACCAAGATCGTTACTACGAACAGAAGTTCCACACTTCACCTCAAGACATTGAATTTCGCCACAAGGTCGCTCAAAGCTACGTCGAAGGTCTGTGCTGGGTGCTATTGTATTATTTCCAAGGTTGTCCTTCCTGGACGTGGTATTACCCCTATCACTACGCACCTTTCGCAGCCGACTTTCAGGATATGGAAAAGCAAGTCGTGCATTTCGAGAAGGGCAAGCCATTTCATCCATACGAGCAGCTCATGGGTGTCATGCCCGCAGCGTCGAATCACACACTTCCATCTGTCTTCCATTCGCTCATGACAGATGACGACAGCCCCATCAAGGAGTTCTACCCTGTGGACTTCGAAGTCGATCTCAATGGCAAGAAGTTTGCATGGCAAGGTGTAGCTCTTCTTCCCTTCATCGACGAGAAGAGGTTGCTTGACGCCATGAACACCAAGTACCCACTGCTGAGCGAAGACGAGAAGCGACGAAACGGATTTGGTGAAGAGGTCCTCATTTTTAGCACCAAACACCCACTCTACACCGAAGTCGTTTCCAACTTTTACGGCAAGAGGGCAGACAAGGACAAGTTCAAACTGAACAGCAAGATTTCAGAAGGCCTGAGTGGCAAAGCTTCGAAGGACCCATCGTACGTACCCAATTCGGAGCTGACCTATCCTCTACCCGCAGGGAATCAGGATGAATTCACCAGCTTGGACGTTGATGAGAGTGTGAAGGTCTCGTATCATATGCCCGTGTTCAGTCAAATTCACAAATCCATGCTTCTGCCTGGAGTCAAATTCAACGATCCAGTGCTCGATTATCAGGATGTCGAACAAACACGTCAAAAGGCCCAGCGCAGCGGGCGGAGCTTCGGAGGCGTGCGACTTTCACAGAACGGTGATCGCTCAGATGGGAGGAGAATCAATTACTCTGCTCGTGACAACGGAAACCATGGCAGCAATGGCTACGATGACCGCAATGGTGGGGGAGGACGAGGCGGATATGGAGGTGGTAATGGCTATGGTGCGAACGGAGGTTATGGTCGGAATGGACCTCCTGCTGCTGCTGATCCCTACGCTGGCCAAGCTGCCGCAGCCTTCCAGAACTTGCCTCCTCATCTTGCTGCGCAAGCTGCACAACATGGCTACGCACCCCCACCCGGCGCCGGACCCCCGAGAGGTGGTAGTTATCCGTCGCAGTACGGTTACCCCCCAGCACAGAATGGGTACAGTGGTCCACGTGGTGGCTATGGTGGCCAGGGGGGCGGTCATGATGGCAGAGGACGAGGCGGATATGGTCAGCAAGGAGGTTACCATAGCAGAGGCGGTGGATATGGCTCTGGTGGCTACTCCGGTGGAGGAGGCTACCAGGGAGGCGGAGGTGGCGGTAGACGCTACTAGTTGCGAAGGAAAAAGACCAAGCCAGTGTACGATACGCATGATGAGCGCTCGCTGCAGATATAATGTCTATACCTCTTCGCGAAACGCTTTGTAGAAATCATACTAGCAGTAATGGCATCTGTTGGAAGAGCAGCACTCTGTTTTCTCCAAATCCAGTATGGAAGGAAAAGAAAACAAGGGGAAAGAAAAGACACCTCCCTGATTATACCAAAACAATCATCTTTACCTCCAGACCCCATCTCCCTCAAAGTATCATCCCCTATTACAGTACGGATGTTGTTGATTGATTATAAGCCCTCTCTCTCTCTTTCCTTGTTCCTCTAACGAGTGACATCAAACGGGGATCCCCTTTTCCTCTTCATTCTCCAAATTTTCCACCTTCCTCTTTTTGTTCTTCTCTGCCATCCTGCAAGTCGTCTGTCCGCAACCACTACCTCTCACCGTTTGTAAGGAATTGGTTCCTCCTTCTACGATAACCTCAGAGCTTCCTTTCGGATTGTTTTCTGCCGGCCGAGAATTTCGAAAAAGGCGATGCTTGTATACCCCTCGCGCGTCGTAGGCGGAGATCATTTCCTGGGAGAAAGAGAAGGAAAAGAGGGCCGTAGTATAGTCGGGGGAAAACATAGACCGTGACTATCTCTCATGAACTCATACTTAGAGATTTTGAGCTGATTCGTCCCAAATCTTGAGATCAGCTCGAGCGCACTGATCTGGTCGTTGGCCTCGGAACGCTGTTCACATACGTATATATTTGTGGTTCCCTGTCGAGGAATATATGTCTTCTAGCGCTCATCGACTGTCTTCTCGCGAAGCGCGAAGAGGCAGTCCGTAGGGCTGTCGTTGGCATCAGTGCAAGCTATACAGTACCTTGTCTTTCAAACAGATGTACGGCTGAGCAGACCATGTACACTTATCCGTTTGGATTATATGGCTAGGAACTACATGTATACAGTATGTAATCCTACATAAAATATGCACAAGCGGGCTCTTGTCCGACGACCTACCGTCTAGCGAGGCAATCTCGAGACAAGTCATAACAAACAATAGCTTGTTGCCGGCGACTAAGAGCGATGGCTTGATAATGTCCGGCTTGTTTTTCGGCAGTAGAGGTATCTATCATAACTGCTGTATTTCTTGGCACTGCATTATGGTCAGCGATTGAACTTCTATGTCAACGTTTGGAAAGGTACGCCTTTCAACCTGACTCGGACACCGCAAGACAATCAAATAAGGGTAATAGAAATTAGCCGTACACACCAGGCTACGTAGTAAGCAGTATACAGCTCGAGTTGGTATATGTTCCTCGGTAGTATATTGCTACTTGGCAGTCTTATAAATTATCCTCCCTTGGAAGGGCCCAATTACGACACGCTAGACAGTGATTCACCTACTACTGAATATTCCCGAGGATTAGTGTTTGTTGCCTAGTGCAGGTGCTCGTTGCGATTGGTAGCCGGCTCCTCTTGAGGACGTGAGCACCGTAGCCGTTCCCACTGTCTATAGACAGGCTAGTCAAGTTTGTGCCTCGCGATCGGAGACACCCCAGTAGAGTATTAGCCAGTATCGAGCATCGCGTAACTGGTCCGTAGAGTAGATCATAATGCTACCCCCTCTTAGCCATGATATCGCATTGCAGTGCACGCGAATTTCGCAATGTGTACAGTAGCGTAGCAGCTACGACATCAAACCACTGAGCGTCCGACAAGCGCACTGCATAGCTTCGGCGGGCAGTCCGAGTTCGTATCTGCGATGAAGATTTGCAAACACTCCCGATGTGTTATGGGACCGAAGTATAACGTGGTATTGTTGTCCAAACTCAATATGCAGTCCGGGATCAGCCACTCGAACCCTCATGTGGAAGTGGGTCCAGGTCTTGGGGGCTTTCTGCAGCCATCCTTTAGCTTCCGTCGAGTCCGGTGCGAGCGACACGCCCGTGAGCATATGAAGCAAAACACATACATAATAGTCGGCGGCACACACCCGACTATCCAGACACCGGCTGTATATTTGGACCGTTCCAATCGCCCGTGACGGCGTCAAAGACGAGGAATCGCCAGACGTACAATCGCATCTTCGGAATTGAGATCGAGATCGAGAAGATCGTTGTCATTGGATGCATCAAATGCCCAGAGATATTTCAGCTTCGATGAGTACCTGATGTCCACAAACACCGCCGTGAATGCGAGATCCCAAGCCCATGAAAGAAGGGTTGCATGCAGCTCCTCCAGGTCCGTGACACAAGCGTCCAGACACCAGTCAACATCTTCGCGCTCCTCAGCATCTCTGTCATACTGCCTGTCCATCCACGACGTCGTACTCCTCGAACCTGACTCCAGTCCCGCCGCAAACGAATCCAACACATCAAATGCGTCCCACCGACCAACCGCACGCCCGTTTTGGTGGAGCAACCGAATGAACAGGTCTCGATACATCTGCCGAGAGAATATGCAATCCTCTGCTTATTCGACGAGCTCAGAGTACTGCGAAGCGTGTGCCTGTATCTGCTGCCAGTCGAATTCCAATGAAGCTTCTGCATACAGCCCCATCTGGCCGTAGAGAAGGTCAATGAGAGCTGCGATGTCGCCTTCGACGTTGTTGCCATGGCCGTCACATGGATGTGGTGATGACTTGCGAAACCTCGTATCCGCCATTCAGTGGCAGCTTTGAACTGTGCTCGATCGTCTGTGGCCAGGGTTTTCGTGACAAGAGGTGGATCCAGTAGCTTTAGCATTGAGGACATCGGCGCCGCAGCTCCCTCAGCAACGGCCATTGAGTTGTCACACTCCACAAACTCATCCGTCGAACATCAACAGTGGACCAAGCATGACCAAATAGTAGCCGTTGCATCACCACAACAACGCAACGCATCTGCTGCCACTTGCGTGTGTACAAGTTCCTGTAGCTCCGGCTGGAAATGCCCGGTCTGCAATTGCTCAGTTCCACCAGTGGACCATGTTTTCACCAGCTTCCCTTGAATATTTCCTTTCACACAGACATCCACATGGTCTCCTATCCAGGCATGTTATTTCCCTCTCCAGCACGCCCTACCATTCCTTTTATGAACTCCACGTAGCCCACCCTCCGTCCCTTCAGCAGACTAACCGCATCCTGCAACACACCAAAAGCCAACCCCGCCTTTGCCCCCATCTTCGCCGTCCTCGCGGCAGTAGGCAATGGAAATCTATTCCATGCACTGAACAGCCCCGCGGTCCCCAGTCCCGCCAACATGGAACTCACACAATCTCTCGAGTCCAAGATCACGGCCTCCTCCTCCCGTTCCTCCGCTTCCATGACATCTGCAAGTGCAGCAAGTCGCATCTCTCGCGCACCGCTCTTCCACTCTCCACCCCAAAACCTCGCCCACGTGCGACTCCCTGCAGCCCTCCCGCGATCGACACCTTCTTCGAGCAGAAAGAACAATCCTGTCCAAGCCGCGAACTTAAGTGACTGGCGTGTTCCTTCTTTGATGCCGCCAAGCATCATGTTATAATTTTTTGATTTGTGATACAAAAACCACCCTGTTTGGGTGGTAGGTAGGCGATGTGCATTTTCCGCTCGGAAGCGGAAGTCGGTGTCTTGGGAACCTTTGGCAACGCCGAGAACAAGGCCTGTGCAGGAGGCGATCGCCATGGAGAGTGGGAGGCGCGTGGGCAGAGGGAGGGACAAGCGGTCGGCGTCGTTTCGTTGCAGGAGAGGACGGAGGGGTTTGGAAGGGGGTTGTTGGTGGTTGGAGTGCGGGATGGGAAGGGTAGAAAGGCCTGATTCCATGGCAGCAGGTGTCGGAGGTGGTCGGAGGGCAGTATTGCTTTCGTCTTCTTTTGGATTCGATGAGACTGGTCCCCACATTCTGATTCCGGGTTGTTCTGCTCCTTCCCGCGCTTGCTCGGTGGCATGTGCAAAGTGTTGTATAGCGTAGGTACATGAAGTGTAGGTACCTTACTGCGGTAGGTGGCATGCCATAACTGGATGGTGCAGTGCGGAGCTCGGGAGGCACCTCCGAGAGCCGAACAATTGTGGAGTCGCGTCTGTCGTTTGGAGATGGATGATGATCGCGACGTCCTCCACCGTGACCATCACGGCATTACCATCCATCGCAACCTCCTGCTGGGGCCACAGAGGAGAGGGAACAGGAGCAGAGGAGCAGAGGACCGAGGAAGAGCAGGAGGAAGAGGAAGAGGATGTTGACATCGCGACATGGCGCTCTCGGGCAGACGAGTGGCAAGGCGACGGCGTGGGTGTGCCTCAGTTGCCGGACAAAACGACACCGCAGAGGCCAACACACGGTAGCGGACACCAACACGACGACCGATGTGGTGGATGGTCACGGACGGCCCATCGTCAGAAGACACATGATTGGCAACAGAATCAAGCGTCCGCGAGTCGAGACGCACTCATGGGAAAAGGCGAAGATTGGAATACCGGCTGTAGAGTATGCCGAAAAAATCGCCTGCTTGGATATCAAGTCATTTGCCGAGCATGTTCACCCAAGCATCGGCCAGGAGCTCCAGATCAAGTTCTCAAAGGGGCGGAGGCTCAAGGCGAAGGTTAGAGATCACAAAGTTGCAGAGGGTGCTAGGCGCTACGACTGGACGGTTGGCCCCAAGCCATCGGCTTTCAGGAAAGGCTCTTGGATGTCTATTAACCACGAGGGTTTCAAATTTGATATTGAAGCAGCCTCGGATGAATCGATCCAGAGGGCTTCCGGGACAGGAAAGGGCAAAGGTCCAGCTAGTCAAGAGCTTGCCTTCGAGCAGAGTGACGGTTCCTTCTTAGCCAGGAAGAAGTTGCACAACAGTCGTGTTGGCAGACACTCAGAGGAGTTGCTTATGGCCATCGATGAGCAGAAGTCCGCGATTCAAGACATGGAAGCAGCACGGAAGAATGAGCGAGCCCAAGTCGCCGCCAACCAGGAGAGCACCGTGAGCAGCGCAGCTGCTACAGCTCGACCAACCTCGTCTGAAAACGATTTTGCAGAGCAGAGGATCCTGGATCGCTCCTCTTGGGGGAATATCGCTGTCTATCAGAATCCCAACCATGACTTTCTGGGATTAGTTTCAAGACAATGTGCACAGCATGCTAATGACAAGCAGAAGCCGTGTCCCGCCCTGCCGAGGTTGAGTTCATACAATCTATCTCGAACTTGGCCAATGCAGTCAAACGTGAGACACATATTCGCCTGGCAGACAGCGCAGCCAGCCCAGCAGCTTCGAGCCTACCACTCTTCGCATACACATGATCTACAAGTTGCCCCAGCAGAGAGCTTGGACAGCTTTGAACGCTCCAGTGCCAACGTTGATGCATCTACCAAGCCTCCTGATCCAATCTCCGAGAAGCGTGGTGGAATCAGAGCACAGCTACGACAGTGGCAAGAATTGCATGGCCGCGAGGAACTTATGCCGGACTTACCTCCTGAGGACGATGGACCGATTGATTTCGAGACACCATACAACAGCCTAACACGACTACCGAATGCGCAGAGCATGAACCAAGAGGCTGAAAAAGCAAGCGAAGAGAATGATCGCATTGCATTCTTCAGTGACAACAAGGAAGGTTTTGAAGGCACCTCCAAAGAGCAGAGCCGTTTCTTGGAACCTGGGGATTTAGTCGAGCTGGAATTTTTGCACACAGAGAGGGAAAGCGTGATGGCCATCTACGTTCGCAGAGTTGCGAAAGGTACGGGCCAGTTCCTTACCTTGAACGGGCGTTGGCAGCACGTAAATGAGGGTGCCATACCTTTCAGTGTTCCCGGCTGGATTAATCCAAAGATGCTAGAACCTTTGCTCAAGTACCTGCCAGATCCTCAGAACGAGGCTGATCTCAAGCAGCTCCGGTTGCAGTCCAAGACTGAAGATCTCGACGTACCCAGGGAAGTTTCATCTCATCTCGTTGCCCGTCTTCAGGAATTTGCGGATGAAGTGCGCGAGCTGTATCGGCGCAATGCCAGTGCATTGGACGATGCTCACAACCTCCTGGCCCACGAAACCGATCTTCGCTATGGATCAGTTGTCTCGGCGGCAGCGACACTTCTCAATATGCCCGTGAGTAAGCTGCCATTGGCGGCACTCTTCACAGTCCGCAAAGCGCTTGCAAATGGTGGTTTTGGTTTCAACATTGATCGCCGTTCCCACCGCTTGACGGGTTACATGCAGATTCGCAGCAAAGAACAGGTCAGAATGGTGGAGCAAGTGCGTGTATGGATCCGGCAGTGGCAGGAAGATTCGGCACTGAAGGCGAGCATGGACGCAGAACGTGCTAGGAAGTACAGGTCGACCAAAGGAGCTCAAATCATGTACAGCTTCCTCGAGAAGTCCCGCAGGATCATCCAAAGACAGCGACAAAACCGCGACGCTGTGCCGGAATCTGGCAATGTAGGTCCCAGCAAGACGCGACTGTCTTTGCAAATGCATAAAGAGACCGTCTCGGTCGAGATGGGCAATGAATTCACTGAGGAAGAGTCCCAAATTGTAAAGTTCATCGAAGCATGGTGCTGCAGCAACATGTTTCTTGGTCTCACACGCATTGAGAGCTTACCGCCACTAATTTTACATGCTCTCGGGGTGTATCCAGACTCCGACCTCAAGATGTCGATAGGATATTTGTTCTTGCAAGAGCTCGGCACAATTGTCCCGTACGAGAATCGTGTCCGTTTCGACCAATACCTTCTTCTACCCAGCTCGCAGCACAGCAAGCCACTACAGAAATTGATGACGGCTGTTCTGGGCATGAGGGAAACCCCCAACTTTTACGATTCCATGTCAGATCTTCGACACGACTGGAAAGATCTGCCTGTCTACTGCATTGATGATGCATCCGCGAAGGAGATTGATGATGGCCTCTCTATTGAGGATGCTGGTGTTGGTGCGGATGGGAAGCAGCAGCACTGGATGCACATCCACATTGCCAATCCTACGGCTTTCTTCAGTCGCGATCATCCGCTCGCGAAGATGGCCCGGCACATGGGCGAGACACTGTATATGCCCGAACGCACCTACATGATGTTGCCGCAATGGTCCACAGCCCGTCACTTTAGTCTGGCGCCCAACAGGCCATGTCTGACCTTCAGTGCGAAGATCGATTGTGACGGCCACTTGCTGGAGACCAAGGTGAGACCCGGCATTATTCGGAACGTTTTTCGCGTTACGTACGATGAGATCCAAGAAGTGCTGGGAGATGGAGGTCGTCACGTGCAACCTGAAAAGATCATCCTCACTGTCGGAGGCGCACCTCCGCCCTCCCGTGATCACATTAGTGACGCCGGAATCCTCGCGGACGGGAACTTGAGCGATATTCGGAAACTCAGGGATCTCGCCCTCGCCCGGTCTGCAATCCGAAGAAGAGCAGGTGGTATCTTCTTTGAGCAACATCATCCCGACATGCGCGTGTGGCAGGGCACCAGAAGTCCAGGTCTCGCGTGGGACCATCCTCACCGCAAAGGCTCACGCACCATCCGCGGCGATCCTATCATTCAAATGCAATCGCAACGCCTGGTCAACTACTTTACGGCCTCTCGAGAAAATTCCCAAGTCCTCGTCAGCGAAGCCATGTTGTTGTGTTCGGAGATCGCTGCCAGATACTGCGCTGATCGGAACATCCCCATCATATACCGTGGCACCGTGGACATCGCTCTGCCTGGAGACGAGCAACCGAAAGAACAACAATGGAAAGATTTCCTCGCCCAAGGCAAAGACCTCCCCATGCATCTCGGCCTCCCCTACCTCCACTCTTTCGGCCACACGGTCCTCCGCACTCGGCCTCTGAAACACGCCTATCTCGGAATGGACTACTACGCCAAAGTCACTTCTCCCCTGCGAAGATACGGGGACATGATTCTTCACTGGCAAATCGAAGCCGCTCTGAGATATGAGGCGTCATCGGGGCAGAGTTTGCTCGCGCAAGCGAACGACAAGAATGCAAAACATGACCGAACCTTTCTCCCCTTCTCCACTTCGGCGCTCGAAACCATCATGGTCGGTCTCCAACCGCGAGAAACCATGATCACTCGCGCGAAACGGTACTCGAACGATTTCTGGGCTGCCATGCTTCTTTTCCGCATGTTCCACTACAAAGAAGGTGGTGCCGGACCAGTGCCCACCTCGACCGATGTGTCCTTTGCTGGTGCTCTGCCACCTGGAGAAGGTGGGTTCCCCTACGAGACGTTGACGGTATTTCTCCCGAATAGCCCCGACGGCGCGAGGCATGACACCCTCGGTGGTATTTGTTTGGAGATGAGTGTGGGAGTCGAAATGATGAAACCAGGGTATGTGGATTCGGGAATGGAGCAGCCTATGCAGGGTGATGTGTGGGAGGTAGGTTTAGAGAGGGTCGACGTGTACCTTCGGAAGATTGTTTGTCGGCCGAAGCGGTTGGTAGGGAGAGATGCGTTATAATCTTTATTGATTGGGGATTTGTGAAATTATAGATGATAAATGCGGGTAGGAGGAAGGTTCTACTCCAATACCTAAGGTACGTAAACTTACCCATAGGTACTTCATCGACGTCGTTCCTAGCAGCAAAAAAGACTCGTACTCTTCTCTATATAGACGCGGGCTACTCTTTCCTCTTGACGTCGTCGTCTCTTTTGCTATCCTACAATTGAATGCCAAACATACCTTACTACACATACATACACATAGAAGACACAAAAGAAGGGAGCAAAACAAAATGTTAGAGCAAAAGATTGAAAGAATAGAACGCCCCACGGGACTCGAACCCGCAATCCCCTGATGCCGGATCGCTGAGAGATCGAAGTCAGATGCCTTAACCATTGGGCCAAGGGCGCAATTGAACAAGTGTGATTTATTATGTGTTTATGTAGCTTGATATTTTGCGGCCCGTAGCTTTGCTAGCTAGTAGCCTCGAAGGGACGAACTTGAATTGGAAGAGCCGGGATTTTGGTTGTAGAATCTAGCAATTCTGTTGGTAATAGGAGCAGTCTGTATACTTTCGACATCCGTAGACGATGCAAATATTTTTGTTTATACATGTTTGTATTGATGGTATTGGCCTTGACGGTGATTGTCGGATACATGCATCTGAATTGTCGATTGGTGACGACGACGTCACGTTGCGAACTGCCGCTGGTTGCCGAGCGGACACCACTACCAATTTGTAGACGACACTCTTTCACTTACCAAGACAACATGTACAGGCGGGATCGAATGATGCAAATTGCCAACGCGACTACTCTATCGAACATTTGCCACTCTACAGAGCGCTATGTGATAACCCATCCGAGGCCGAAAACACGAACCCTTCTTCTTCCGCCCGGGATCTGTTCTGCTCAACGGCGCTGCTTCTTCCTTCCTAGACGACCTGACCACACCTAACCGGCGCGGCCGCGTCCTACCCGACGACGACTTCGTAGACCGCGAGCAGAGCATTGCTATGAACCCGTCCTCTTTCGCGGCAATGTCGGTGTCGGCGACTTCGACACTCTCAAATATAGCATTTTCATCAACGATGGCAGGCTCAATATTGCTACGCCTACTTATGCGAGGTGCTTGGTCTATCAGATTTCGAGCAGTGGTGTTCCAGCCTCGCGTAGACAGGTCATCGATGTTCCCGTTGGAGTCCTTCGTTCCGTTACCGCGCACTTGATCTCTATAGCGAGGAACTTTGGATGCGGATTGAAACATACCGATAGAGGCAGTATGTCTGATGCTGTATAGGTGGTAGAGGGGGTCTTCTACAAAAGCTACCAAGCGACAACTGCTCCCGTGCATGCCGAGTACTCCGGAGCCGCTCTCATCTCGTCTGCGGCCTTGACCTCTAGATGCCAGTGCTCGACGTCGCCAGCCCTCCAAACATACAACACGTCTAGCCTTTCCACAGTTGTCAAGAAGACGTACCCTGATTCGACAGAAGATACCACCCCCGTTGTATCCAAGACAACCGCAAATCTCATGAACCCACGTCCAACATCCGATCTGTATACCTCCTTGACTTGTGTCGCAATCGCTACTTCTTTGCCCTTTCTATCCGGAATCTGACTGTGCATTACGATGCTTGAGCGGCGAAGCTTCTCGTTGGTCGATTCCCTATAGATCCCGCGCCCTTGACAGCATCATCACACCGCGACGATAGTGTGTTCTCAGACCGAACGACGGAACCGCCAGTGCCGACAGTGAAGTGAAGCCCGACGCAAATGTCGCTGCAAGGGAGCAAGCGTCCGTTTGAGCTCATCTGAACGGGAGTGGTCATTGCAGGACAAGTGAAAAGCTGGACGAAGTCTGCTTCAGCGACGGACCTTCTGTAGCTGACCAGCGAGTTCTGCTGTGCCGACTACACCATTGAGCAAACCTCACCTCCTGCGACCACTACAGCACGTCTGGAGTGGATGAACGATCCTCAGCTTCACTTCCGTCACGTTCCAGCGGACCTTGTCGCTGCTTTCTCCCCTGAACCATTATTCGCATTCGAACTCGCTCCTGCACATCAACATCAACCATTGACGAAGCCTACTGCCGAGAGAAGATGGACCACAACAGTAGCAGCGGCAGCAGCAAGATGAAGGAGTACCTCTGTCCGCATTGCGGAGGCAACTTCCGCTCGGGACCCGGCCTCTGCTCGCACGAGAAAGCGCGGCTCGCTAAGGATGGTGTCTGCGGTGATTCTCGACGCGGCGACTGGACGTAAGTGAGACCTCCGTCATGACAAGATCAGCTTTTTCTAACTTCGATCCGCTTTGTAGCAGCTCTCAGCCAGAGTCCACAGAGTGCCCATACTGCGAGTTCGCCTGCAACTCGCGCGCCGGACTGGCATCTCACGAGCGAGCCCGCCGCAACAACGGCGGCTACTGCAAGGAGAGTCGTCTACGGTATGCAGCACCTCGGAGCTGATAGTCTCGGTAGACAAGCATGTGCTGATTCATCCTCAGGTCTAGTGGCAGTCAGATCTGGCTCAGCGCTCCACGCGATCCTACTCGGCACGACACGCCGATCGCCCAGATGCCGACGACGGTAGAGACGCCCCGTACCACGAAGTTGCGCTCAAACCCTCCTTCGACGCTGGAAAAGAACACGAGCCCTTTGGACATTACAGACGTGCCACCGGGTCAAGAGGGAATGTGGAAGGTCAATCCCGCCACGGGCAAGAGGATCCTGTCTTCCATCTCGGGACTACCGATGCTCGATCCCAAGTCTCGCGACTACGTAGCCAACGAGGCTCGGAAGTATACGCCTTGGATGCTAAATAGCAACGGGAAACTTTTATAGGGATTCGTAGCTTTAGCCGTATAGTTCTTGTACGGGTAGACATTTTTCGAGAGATTCTCTAAGTATTGCTATCGGGAGAGTAGTCGTTATAGAGTTGTCGCGCTTATAGGTTTTAAGAAGACAATATAATAAAAGTTTTAAGGGATTCCCGATTTTTAAGAGTATAGGATAGATTGAAGAGTATTAGGAAACAGGAATCTATATAGCTTATATAGGATCTAAATACTAAATATAGGACTAGAGTACCTAATATCGGACACTCTATTCTCTAATATATATACTATATACTATATATATGTATACTCTAATATAACGTAATATAACTACTATAGACATAATAATCCTATAAGTATAAGAGTATCTATAATAGAGGTCTAAGGTATAAAAGATAATATGTCCTATAGGCCTACCTATTAGTAGTACGGAATACTAATCTTAATTTTCGTATATATATATTATATATATATCTATATCTATCTCTATCTCTATCTCTATTCTCGTCCTTATTCTTCTCTTCTCTTTGCCTTTAGTTCTTCTCTTCTCTAAATATAGAACTAGAGCGTCTAACGTCGGACGCTCTGTTCTATAACTATCCTATCTATCTAGGCGTCGCGACTACTCTAGCTGCCTAGGATCTCTACCTATTACGACTACTCTAGCGGCTCTAGATATCTATCTATTAGATAGAGATAGAGATAGAGATAGAGATAGAGATAGAGATAGAGATAGAGATAAGGATAGAGATAGAGATAGAGATAGATATATATCTACCTATAAGATAGAGATAGAGATAGAGATAGAGATAGAGATAGATAGATATCTATCTATAAGATATAGATAGAGGTAGAGATAGAGCTAGATAGATATCTACCTATAATATAGAGACAGAGATAGAGATAGAGATAGATAGATATCTACCTATAAGATATAGATAGAGGTAGAGATAGAGATAGATAGATATCTACCTATAATATAGAGATAGAGATAGAGATAGAGATAGAGATTAAGATAGATAGATATCTACCTATAATATAGAGATAGAGATAGAGATAGAGATAGAGATAGAGATAGATAGATATCTACCTATAATATAGAGATAGAGATAGAGATAGAGATAGAGATAGATAGATATCTACCTATAATATAGAGATAGAGATAGAGATAGAGATAGAGATAGAGATAGATAGAGATCTATTCGTAAGATAGAGATAGAGATCGCGTAGATCTCTACCTGTCGCGACGACTCTAGCCGCTCTAGATAGCCGCTCCGCTTCTTAAACTTCTTAATAGCGAATTGTATACTATTATACTTCTTAATATAGTAATATACTATTACTAAATGCCCTTTGCCGAGCTGCTCTTATATTATATATTGCTATTAGAACCCGCTTCCGTTCTTAATCTTCCGAAGGTATCTAAAGATAAAGTTAGCTTCGCTAACAATAGATATCTCGTCTCTATCCTAAAGCTTATATCTCTTATTACGTCCGATTACTTCGTTATTTATCTACGTACCGTTGCCGCTTAAGTCCTTAAGGATTATAGTAGTACTACTATACTTATTCTTTAAGAATATTAAGCAATAACGGTTACTTATAGTCGCGCTCTTAACAATCTTGTTATATTCCGGGTACTATCCGATTAGATAGCTATCTACTAGAACTCTATTCTTCGCTTTATCCTCCTTATACTATCTATAATATAGAGATAGAGATAGAGATAGAGATAGATAGATATCTACCTATAAGATAGAGATAGAGTTAGAGATAGATAGATATCTACCTAAATATAGGACCGGAGCGTCCGACGTCGGACGCTCTATCCTAGAAACGTCCTACCCGCCCCGACGCGACGCGCCTACCCCGGCGGCCCTAGATATCTACCCGTCGCGACCCCTCTAGCGGCCTTAGATCTCTACCTATCGCGCCTATCCCGGCGGCCCTAGATATCTACCCGTTAGATAGAGATAGAGATAGAGATAGAGATATAGATAGAGATAGAGATAGAGATAGAGATAGAGAGATCGAAATAGAGATAGAGAGAGATAGAGATAGAGATAGAGATAGATAGAGATAGATAGATATCTACCTATAAGATACAGATAGAGATAGAGATAGAGAGAGATAGATATCTACCCGTTATATAGAGATAGAGACCGAGATAGAGAGAGATAGATATCTACCCGTCCTATAATATAGAGATAGAGACCGAGATAGAGAGAGATAGATATCTACCTATAAGATTAAGATAGAGATTGCGTAGATCTCTACCCGTCGCGACGACTCCGGCCGCCCTAGATACCTACTTGTAATATAGAGATAGAGACAGAGATAGATATCTATATATAATATAGAGATAGAGATAGAGATAGAGATAGAGATAGATAGATATCTACCCGCGATATAGAGATAGAGATAGAGACGGAGACGGAGATAGATAGACATCTGCCCGTAAGATACAGATAGAGATAGAGATAGAGATAGATAGATATTTACCTATAAGATAGAGACGGAGATAGAGATAGAGATAGAGATAGAGATAGATAGATATCTACCCGCGATACGAGACGGAGATAGAGATAGAGATAGAGATAGATAGATATCTACCTACGATATAGAGATAGAGAAGGAGACGGAGATAGAGATAGATAGATATCTACCTATAATATAGAGATAGAGACCGAGATAGAGATAGATAGATATCTACCTGTAATATAGAGATAGAGACCGAGATAGAGATAGATAGATATCTACCTATAAGATTAAGATAGAGATTGCGTAGATCTCTCCCTATCGCGACGACCCTAGCTGCCCTAGATAGCCGCTCCGCTTCTCAAACTTCTTAATAGCGAATTGTATACTATTATACTTCTTAATATAGAAATATACTATTATACAATACCCTTTGCCGAGCTACTCTTATATTATATATTACTATCGGAACCCGCTTCCGTCCTTAATCTTCCGAAGGTATTTGAATATAAAGTTAGCTTCGCTAACAATAGATATCTCGTCTCTATCCTAAAGCTTACGTCTCTTATTACGTCCGACTAATTGGTTATTTATCTACGTACCGTTGCCGCTTAAGTCCTTAAAGATTGTAGTAGTACTACTATACTTCTTCTCCGAGAATATAAAGCAAAGCCGGTTACTTACCGTCGTACTCCTAATAAGCTTATTATATTCCGGATACTATCCGATTAGATAGCCGCCTACTAGAACTCTATTCTTCGCTTTGCCTTCCTTCTACTATCTATAATATAGAGACAGAGATAGAGATAGAGATAGATAGATATCTATCCGTAAGATCGAGATAGAGATCGCGTAGATCTCTATCCGTCGCGACGACTCCGGCCGCTCTAGATATCTACCTATAATATAGAGATAGAGAGGGAGATAGAGATAGACGCGCCTACCTACAGACCTCTACCTATCGTCGTAACTACCCCGGCGGCTCTAGATCTCTATCTATTAGATAGAGGTAGAGATAGAGATAGAGATAGAGATAGAGATAGAGATAGAGATAGAGATAGAGATAGATATAGCGATAGAGATATAGACAGAGATAGAGATAGACGTACCTGCCTATAGATCTCTACCCGTAAGATAGAGACAGAGATAGAGATAGATACGAAGATAGATATAGAGATAGAGATAGAGATAGAGATAGAGATAGAGATATAGATAGAGATAGAGAGTAACCCGCCCGCCTATAGATCTCTGCCTATCGCGACGCCCCCGGCGGCCCTAGATATCTACCCGTTATAGCGACTACTATATAACCGGAGCCCTATAGCTATACGAAGGAGATAGGCGATAGTACGAAGGCAGAGCAGGTATCGCCGTACCTCTCCGACTGTAGGTACGTTAGCTCCCGGTCTCTCGAAGAGGAAGGAGTATATAGCGACTACTCTATATAGATAGGTAAGGTACCTAGGTCGCCTTCCGCCGGACTCCTTCGAAGAGGTAATCTAGATAGGATACTCGTAGGTAGTCGTAGTCTACCTCTAAGCGACGACGGCGATAGTAAGTACGTAGGATAGAGGTATAGAAGTAGCCTATTATACTCTACTAGCTATATAGCTAGTACTACTAGTATACTCCTTCGTAGTAATCGCTACTTCTAGGCTATTACTAGCTAGAACTATAGAGCCCGAGAGATATTAACCCGGAATTAGTTTTAAATCCTATAGTCGTAGGTAGCTCTAGAACCGGCGTATAATACAGCTTCCGAAGGGAATAGTACGAGCTCGTCTATCTGCCTTAAAAGGCTATAGCAACGATAACAGAACCTCCTCCGCTATAGGTTATATAGTCTATAATAGTAGTAGAGAGGTAGTCCTCTAATAGTAGTATCGATATATCGCGTATATATTATATAGTACCGTTCTATCGACGAGGAAGTACCTGCTCGACGTTGAACCTATCGAGCTCTAGAGGAACGATATATTATTATATCCTATAATAAATACTATATCTAGTAGCCCTCTATTACGCTATCTCGATATCCGTCCTCTCTAGAATAGAGACTGCCTCTTCTTATTTTTCTAGTACTACTCTTATAGAAGATCCCTCGAGATATAGGAATAGAGATAGATAGTATCTTATATACTATCGCTTGTCTTAAATCGATCTATTATAACCCTTACCCTAACTGCTCGACTAAGACCTATCCTCCTATATAGCCTCTCTATACCTACTAAGCTACGTCGACTACAATTAAGGTAGCTAGCGTATATCGCGAATAGAAAGGCTATAGCTAGGCCGATCGTATACTTGTTATACCTATATTATAAGGAGATAGAGGGTCCGACGTCGCCTTCGACGCTCTAAGGCTATAGAAGCTAGAAGGTATACCTTCCTAACCCTAATCTAGAAGGCGTAGCTCGAGAGGAAGAGCGTCGCTCTACTATAGGCCTAGACTATCCTTATCCTCCTTGTATAGGCCTTCGCGCTCTCTATCCTATCGTACGTATAGTATCTCCGTCGACGGCTACTAAC